TTCCAAATACAGGGCTTCTATCTGGGTGACAAGCATGCCCTCAGCAAGCCCCCTGCTGTCATGGGCACATTCCAGCATGCCACCACCTCTGAAGTGGCTACCCTTTCCACAACCATCATCCACCTTCACCTGGATGGCTTGACCCTGGACCCTGACCCAGTCCATATCATCCAATCCATGATACAAGGGTATTTCAAACAAGAGGGCACTTACAATTTTGCACAGTTGCCTTATGACTTGGGAACTCAGGAGTCTAGGGCTGCCTATGAAACTGCAGCTGAAGTGCTCTCTTCCTTCCTGGCCCCTTATGCAAGGGTGGTTCTCTTCATCACTACCCACAGTGAAGAACAAAGTGGGGATCTCTCTGCTGGAAGTAGGGATGGGCAGGTATTTGTCTCAAAGGTCTTTGAGGTGAGTCACCATTTCTCAATCTTTACTCTCACCTCACCATTTCCAGGTTTTAGAGGCTCTCCTCACACCCCTCTCCAAGGTTGTTGAGGGAGGTGACCTCATCTTCCTGGTGTGTGGATATCTGGTCAAGCATCAGGAGAGTTTTCAAGACCTCAAGTCAGCCATGAACCAGTAGGTGTCATCTCCATCTGAGCACTTATTTGCCACTCATCACCATTCCAGCTTCAAGCCAGGGTCAATGCTCCTCTTTGATGCAGACAGGTTACTCCTTGTCAACACCATTCCTTTCCTCATGAGTGTTTTGGATCTTACCATCATCCAAGGCTTTCAACAGATGGATAAGACAGTCAAGGCTGCCCTCAAGGACTGTGGGGTGCTGGGTAGACACTCAAACATCATCCTCATGTTTTGGGGGTCTCAAGGAGGGAGGGTATTGGTGGAAAGGTACATTTGGACTGACAAGTTCATCAAACCTTGGGGTCAGAACTTGCCTGCTCAATGCCCTCAGTGTGGGAGCATACAAGAATGGCTGGCTGCTAGTGCTGATTCAACTTATTCCTATCAGTGCCAGTATCCTGATTGTGGGAAGGACTTGGAGGGGACTGCATTGCCACCCAAAACTTATACCATTTCTATGCCTTAAGGAGCCAAAAAATTACAGATGGAAAAAAGTCATCTGCATGGTTGGTAGAAAATTTGTAAAATACATATACCTCCACAGTACACAGTACATAAAAAATGGACTGTTTATAAAGAATGAATCCAATGATATGGCCCATATTGCAAGAATATCCCATCTTTCCTAAGAAAATATGTTGAAAATTATAGAAGAAACAGATCCTTGTTTATTCTGGAGGTTTCACAGCTGATATGCATATATAATTTTGCATGTCTGCTGCATGCTTTGCTGATGCTGGGTTGGGCTTAAGTAAGGTCCACCAACACCACTTCTGGGGGGCTGGGCCATGGTTTGGCTACATTGGCTGACCCCCTTCCAGGGAGATGGCCCATGCTGAGGGTAGGTCAACTGATATCACTTTCAGGGGCTGGGCCATGCAGAGGCTGCATCAACTGATACTACTTCTGGGGGGCTCCCTCATGTTGAGGCTAGGTCAGCCACTACCACTTCCAGGGGGCTCACCCATGCTTAGCTGATGTCAGCTGACACCACTTCTAGGGGGCTCCCTCATGCTGAGGCTACATCTGCTGACACCACTTCTAGGGAGCTCATCCATGCTTAGGTGATATGGCCAACACCTCTTCCAGGAGCTCTCTCATGCTGAGGCTGTGATGGCTGATACCACTTCCAAGGGGCTCCCTCATGCTGAGGCTAGGTCAGCCACTACTACTTCCAGGGGACTGGGCCATGCTTAGGTGATGTCAGCTGACACCACTTCTAGGGGGCTCCCTCATGCTGAGGCTACATTGGCTGACACCGCTTCTAGGGAGCTCATCCATGCTTAGGTGATGTCAGCTGACACCCCTTCCAGGAGCTCCTTCATGCTGAGGCTGTGTCAGCTGATACCACTTCCAGGGGCTGACCCACTTTCAGGGCTGTCAGCCAACATCAGTTAGTCCCACTTTCAGGGCAAATGTACATTTTGGGTGTCCCAGTTTCAGGACTATGGTTGACTGAATTATGTGCTACCACCACCACCCTAAGAGCCTGTTCAGCAATTGGAAGTAGTCCAAATACCTGACATCAACTTAACATGTGTGTTGGTTAGAGTGAAGTGGAGATGTATCAGAGGTGTAAAATAGTTATGCTTACTAATTGATATCTAGCACCTCTGACTGATATGGACCATCAGTAACCTGAAGTTCAGCAGTGGCTCTACCAGTTTATAACATTGATTCTCAGTCTTATCACATGTGCAGCAGTGACTGTCATCCAGCCTCAAAAACCCCAAAGAAAGCCTCCTGAACCATACCATACATCAGCACTTTCAGGCAAGGCCTGGGTAATTGAACTCCTTGTGGGGCATCCAGAGCAGATCCATTGTGAGCTAGGAATGCATGCATCTGTCTTTGCAGAACTCATTGCAGAGTTGCTCTGTATCTTGCTTCTAGCACCTGAATATGACCTAGAAACACAAGCATGCATTCCCAGCATGCTATGTGCCATTCACAACTTCATCTCCATTCACAATCTCACTGAAGGCCCAATCCTGGGATCTGAGACATTTGGTGGTGGTGGGGGTGTGATCAATGAGGATCCCAAAGCAGAATGGGAGAATCAAGATGTGCTGGACATTGAGGCCAAAGCAATGTGGATTGATTATCAACATATGTATCATCAGGGAGAGGGACTGCAATCATATTGCACAGGGTTCAGAGGATAAAGGCACTGAGGTTGAGAGGGATGATTTGGACAATGGTAACAACATTGAGTTGGAATCTTGATTGTAGTAGTCATTTTTTACTTGCAATTTTGTTTTACACTTGCAATTTACTGTGGTTGCTGAAACAAATGAAATTGATACATCAATGTAGCAAAACATGACAGAAGGTACATGTAAATTGTAATCACAAACTAGCATCAATGGCATTGTGCATGGTAGGAGCAGTTGAACTACATCCATGCTTCTGAAGTAAATCTAAGATATATGCATGGTGGTAGTCAGGGTTATGTCAGAAAAATCTAGGTACCATTACATGCCATTGTACATAATTGTAATGGGGTGTTTTCGCTTCAGGCATGACAATGGGTTGCCATGGGGGGAGATCTAATTGACAATGGCTTTGTCATCCAAGGGGTCAACAATATAAAGCTTGGGGGTGTTATAACCATGTCTGGTAATGTCGTGGTTATGGTGCCTGATGGTGATGTCATTGACATGCATGATTAAGCATGTGACACCATTGTCGAGTACACAACAGCATGCCAAGTACATACAATACTGCAGACAACATTACCATGCATGGCCATGCTTCACCACCCATTATAATCTTCATGTTTTCATTTTTATTTTTCAGGTTCCTATTTTTGCTATTATCAAGAACCATGGATTCAAACAACTATGGGATTAACACACTACGTGTACAAAATAATGTACTAGCAATGGTGCACAGCAAACACTGAGGTCGCAAATGACAGTACTTCTATGCCCAACAATGGTTAGACAAAACTAACTGTGGTTGATTGAGGAAGCCACCTACCTCACTAAGCCTTGAGGGCTATCAGCACACTGCAACGGTTTGGGGAGAGATGAACACCAGGCATGGACAGGCAAATTGAGGGCATAGAGGGGGCAGGAGGTCGTGGGGCATCTAGGTATCAGAGGTGCAATACAGCAGGTGTGGGCATCAGAATGATGTTGTGCGTGAGGAGGCAATGGGGTACATGTGGGGAGGGGGGGGGGATGGCACCATCTGCATAAAATAAAGTTCAGTGACCTGGGAGTGCAGTGTGCTGGTGGACTGACATGGGAATATAGACAAGGATGTCTATTAATCAATTCTGGTGGGGTCGATGACAGAGAAGAGCAAGCAGATTGGTTGCTGTTGCTGGAGATCTCAGCACCCTCAATGCATCCTTAGTGACATGGAACTTAACTTGGGAGAACAAGGAATGAATTGGTAGGGTCATTGTTGATGGTGACAATGGTCGTGTCTTAGTGCATGGTGGGGGCACAGCGGAGGAAGCTGAGGAGGTGGATTCTGGCATAGAGTAAGATGGAGACGCCTCTGGAGTATCGGGAGGGATGGAATACGAAGGCAGCGGAATGTATGCGGACTGCGGGAGGGGTATGACTGCAGCGAACAGGCATGGTTGTGGTTGCAGACCAAGAGTATTAAAATTAAAATTAGCCGAAAAGAATCCTGACATAGACCAGTGTCTTATTATAGTAATCATCAAAGAATGGTAATATAATAATATAATATCATTGGCATAATCATGTCCAAAGGTCTACTATGTCACACTGCAAATTAAATGTTGAGCAGGTCCTTGCCACATTGGACAGTAGTTTGATTGCACAATGAACCCCCAAGTACTATAATGTGGTGCTCGAACATAAATCCATCCCAAACTGCTGCCCCCAGCTTCAGATGACGTCGAATAATTTAGAATCTTGTGTTTCGTGATGGTATTCAGGTCTGCAGTTCACAAAATATTCTGAACAGCACACTCCAGGTCAACATTGCTTGGCACCACAGCTCCAAAGTCCATCTCGTGCGTCATATAAGTTGTTGGGGGGTCTTGAGAGCATCTGTTGAGGTAGTATTCCGGCTTTGCTCAAGGATGCATATATGACATCGCCATTGACAGAGGAGTATTGCAACCAGATTGCATACCAGCTAGGAGTATGCAAAACTGCGAGGGAGCAGGGTGATTGGGTACGAGGCTCATAAAAGGTTTTGTGGTCGTACAGGGATGCAGTACAATCCTTCCTTGCAGAATTGGGTGGGGGGTACCCAAGAGCCGATGCTGTGATTGGATTCTCGGTCCCACAACTCATTTTCCTGCAAGATGTCGGTCCTTTATTGTCAAAGCAAATGGTGGGATGACACACATAGTTGTTCCATGTTTTGAGGAGAATAGAGTGAGGATCAAACTTGCCTTCATCCTAACTGCACAATAACAGTGATCAGCAACATAATGCATTCAAGATTAAGCCACCTACATGAACAATGATCTTCTTTCCAGATTCTCCCAGTATGACACACATGGGCACCCCATGAGAAATCGTCCATATGCCAAAATGAGTAGATTGGAAGCATGAATGAGAAAATTGGGATGGCCAAGATATAGAAATCCATCCATCCAACCATGTCCCACTTGCAATGCAGAATGAACACAAAGGCTTGCAAGCTGTGCACAGTGGCAATCATGACAAGGAAGATGAAGGGGATGGTACTGTGCTCATAAATGACCAACACAATCAAGTAGACGATCTGTAATCTTATAAGCATCATCATGCTCCGAGGACAATGAATCAACCTACATATGTGACAGTGACAGGCTGAATCAGCATTCGATACGAGATCCATCATGACAATGAAATGCATGGAGAAGCAACAGAAACCACAAAGCTGATCCAGGAACATGAGTTCACCAAGATTATGAATGGTTGAGTTGATCCAATGATGACGTTGTGAGAGCAGAACCTTCCAATCATCCAGAGCAACTGTCTCAGCATGAGCATCCCTGATAAATTGCATCTTGTACATCAGGAAGTCTTTGAGCAATAGGGTTGTCAAATAACAATCTTCTCCAAGAAGCAGTAAGTTCTTCATGTGTAGGGTATCGACACAGGTTCTGGGAATAATCTTGGGTAATTTGGTTGGAGACATTGTGCATGTCTGGCATGTGCAGACAGAACAAGGTGAAACAACTGGGCAAGCAAGTGAGCGAGCCAAACAGACTCTCAAATGCCTTCACCATGTGATGGGAGATGAAGTACTCATACACCTAATGAACCACCCTCAGCCCTTGCACCAAACAAAGACATCGCAGGGACTATATGCACCTGCATCATTGTCACAATCAACTGTTTGGCATTGGTGAGGGATGTTTCACTGCACATGCCAAGGGCTTTCTTGTCATGAATCATTCTATGGCTGGTCAGTTTCCTCAAATCCCCTACCAAGCAGCACGACATGACTAATGCAGAAATGAGGCAGTTAAGTGCATATGGCTCTGCAGTCATATCTGCATTGACAGCAAATAGATACTCATAAAATGTCGGCTTGATGCATGATGACATTCTTGATCTGGTGATACATCTCGAGCTCAAGGGGATTCATCGGCATATTGTAATGCACCTAAAACCACTGTCAGCGCCCAAAACTCATGTAAATGTGAACCAACATACCTTGTTCAAGAAATGCATGACTGCCATCTGTGAATCATGCTTACCATGATTCCGGGACATGACCTCTCTGTCAGGCTTCCCAACCTTGATGACCACAAGGTAAGGCACGACATGTCCAGCACACTCGTACAGACCCGAGTACACTTTGGCCATATTATGCTGTCGGGCGCCCTCGCCAATCAATACAAAACTGAGCAGGTTCAGGGTCCAAGTTCGGGTCAGCACCCAGAATATCAAGCATGATACATGGTGTCGGGCAATCATTGCCAGATCCAACAATGTTCCTGTCGCACACGATGAGGATCAGTTTGCGCTTATCATCATACTTGAGCACAGCCAATGAATTGATTGTATGCCAAAGTGACACCTCGCCTTCAGTGTAACATGGAACTTGGCAAATCACTGAACTTGTCATGGTCCTTGGGTGCATGAACAGCCCCGAAATTGATCGATGCAATGAATTTGAACCCGATGATGGAGACCATGAGAACCAAAAGGACTGAGCAAGATATATTGTGAGAACAGACACTGAGGCGAATTTCGATTGTCGACTGCACTGATCAAGAATAGATTGCGAAGACATGTCCTCTGGCTTTCGAGTGTTGCAGAATCAAGTCCAAGACCATCCTTGAACTTCTTCATAAAATCCTGCCCGGAGTTGATCTTGAACAGATCGACAATGGTGGAACTCATGAATTGTGTGTTGATGCCTCCAGCCTGCTTGCATACTGGTAGGCGTAATGACAGCAGGCAGATAGCTGAGATACATGGTTAAATCATAGATCAACCCATCGAGGATCCCGACCAATGATCCACTATTGGCCATATCCTTAATCTCCGAAAGGCATGTACCCTAACATACCCAATGTGATTATTCCACCACATGATCGTCATGCTCTTGAAATACCAGTTCAGGGCGAGAGTCATTGGTAAAAGCACAGAAGTCGTGGTACTGAGCATTGGGGTCAGTGTTGTTGGCAGAGTCAAGCATCACCCAGGGGCTCACAGAACCTGAGATGCTGTTACATAGCATGCACTCACCTATGTCTTTACATCAGGAGGAGACCACACTAAGATACCCTGCACAGGGAAAATCACATCTGAAGCCATGCCACCATACTGGAGGACAGACTTGGTCGACACCATGCTAAAGACACAGCTGATGTGTCACTGCCACATGGCAGTCAAATCAAAGACCCCTCCTCGATTCAACATATAAATGTTATTCAGATTGTTTTGATATGAATGCGATGCCAGTTCAGACATGCTGAACACATACTGAGTAGGTCAGAAGACCAACCCCAGCACGGTAATGATGAAAACATACACAGTGACAGTAACAAGCTGAATTAGCGTTGATACAAGATCCATTGCGATGAACAGAGGCCGCAGTGCTGATCTGAGGGCATGAGTCCACTGAGGTTATGAGTGGTCGAGTTGATATGATGACGAGGTTGCGAGCTAAGCAGAACCTTCTAATCATCCGGAGTGACCATCTTGGCATGAGGCATCTCTGATAAATTGCATCTTGTACATTATGAAGTGTTTGAGCGACAGGGTTGTCGGAAAACGATCTTCTCTGGGGTGCAGTGGGTTCTTTGTTTGTGGGGTAAGTCATGTCACCCCTGTGGCACCTCGCAAAATGTACTGGGCTTTCTTCCCACTCACAGCCATCAGCTAATGGCAACTGAGTGGCCAGTCGACCGGGTAATATGGGCGGAGTGACCCCATTCTGTCAACATTACCTCAGGCTTGCCTTTCATGTCTGATGATGAATGGACCTGAACCATCCTTACTCCTCAAGATCGACAAGCTTGACATATACTGATCACTGCAAAGTCAGGTCCATCTGAACCATTCAAACGTGCTGTTTGGAGACGGTTAATTAGCATTCTTGAGCCTCACTTAGTCTGCATGTTCAGGGTAGATCAGCGGACATGCAATTGAAAGAAACTACATATCACCACAATAGTCAGTATGTGTGAAATGTTATATGAGCCATAGTGGAGGTATCACTATTTCTTTTGTCTAGTAACGTGGGTAACCCTTGCTGGAACAGCCCCGATGCCTTCCTCCATCGCCTTAGCCTGTCCTTGGGTTGCTTTCTTGCCTTTCTTAGTGGCCTTGGAGGAACGGCCACTCACTAAGGCTGGCACAACAACAAGGGGGTCGAGAGGATTCAGATGGGTCGAAACAGATGGTTGGGAGCCACCAAGAGAAAGAGTGGAGAGGGGAAGGGAGAGTTCCGAACTGGTTGCTGACACAATCACTGACTGTGAAGGAGAGACAGTCCTGGCCTCTAGAACAGAAATACTAAGGTTTGTATTTGGCTGAATAGCACCTGGAGATGGAAGTGCCATTCCCCCAGGCAGTGCTGGCAGCACCGAGCAAGTTCATACGTATCTGAGGAGGAGGGAAGTCTTCAGCTTGAATGGTGCTGGTGAGAATGGAAGGGTGTGTAGCTGACTGGCTGGTGATGGGGACAGTGGGAGGGTTCGAGTTTACCTCTGCAGTCCCGCCGACACCTCCAAGTTGTGCCAAGATATCATCTTCCCAGCTTCTCAGCACCTCAACAGAATCTTCAGCTTTGGGAGGTGGTTGTTGGGATCCATCACTGTCGGTTTGCACCAAAGACAGCATTATCAAAGTGCTCAAAGATCCCCAAAGCCCACTTCTTGTTCTCTTGTTTTCGGAGCAGCTCTATATAGAATTTGAAGTCCTTCTCGTATGAAATTCCAGTTTGACTACCAGTAGATGAGAATTCATCATCCCCAGAGAGCAGGAAGCGGGCCTAGCAATGTATGATGAGTGGGCAGCTGTCAGCGCAGGTAGGATGTAATTTGACTCACGAATGTACAACAAATTGCGATGATGCCCTCTGGTGTTGTTGTCGCCTTCAATTTCTGACCCCTGCCAGGGTGGACCACCTTTTTTCTTGCCTGTCAGGACGCCTTTTCCGAAGTGCAACACACATGCAATCTAATATAACAAGATGATCAGCTGTGAGCGTGTCCAATACATTCAGCCAGGAAGTGGTTTACCTGAGTGAGTGCCTTGTTTTTGAAGAGGCCAGAGACATTCATTGCTGATGGGTCTTCAAAAAGGATCAGTGCGAGTGGTGTATATGCCTCATCATGGTTCACTGGGTTTCACTTGAGGAGTGACAAAAGGCAGGATTGTCTGTTCTCTTTCTCCAGTGCACGAGTGCCACCAGGATCCAGTCCTGGACTCAAATGAGCGAAGAGTTGCATGACAGAGTCCTTGACAGGTTTAAGAATGTTGCCACATTTGCCATTCACCATAGATGTGAACTGTGAGAAGCAATAGTTAGCAATCATTTGCTGGATTAGGTATTCTTCACTTACGAGTTGCTCGAAGTGTTCATACTTCATAGTCTGAGCCCTGAAGCTCAGGGGGAACCATAAGGTAAAGTTCGGCACCATTAGCAATGGCCTTGGACTCAGGAGTTTGATAATGTATCAGATCATGTAAATCAAAGTCAGGAGGGCATGCATGAAGAGGGAAGATGCCACTAGGGACCCATAAGTGATAAAAGTAAGCATACTTCTTTGCTAGGGTGATGATGGCGGCATCCAGTGGGCCTTGAGCGATCAACTTGAGGGCCCAGGATCATGCTCTGGGTGCTACCTTGGCCTTAAATTCATTTAGCTTGTTCCTCATCTTTATTAGTTCCTCTCATAGGCAATTAAAGGAGACCTGCACTTGGCCCAGTGCCTAGTAGTGGTAGTCAGTAATATTCAGTTTCGTAGGCAGGTCAGAACACATACCTGGCGCAACTCAGCAGGGCTCACATCCGGTGCAGGGGTAGCCATAACCCTTCGCACCTCATTGAGTTCCCAGTCCAAGTTAGTGCCTGCACCTCTGGCCGCCCCATGGTTTGCTGCATGCAGGACATCCTCATCATTATCAGTATTCTCGTCAAGGCTATCATGGCCCACAGCATCGATATCTAGAGTAAAATCCTCAGACATCGCTGGAAACCGGTAAAACAGACCTAGTCAAGGTTGCAGCTGATGTTCTGTGACCAGCATGTAACAAATTGGGGGTGAGGTCCTTGTACTAAACGTTGGCACTGAGCAGATCCTTTTGAAGGGTGTTCAACAAGGCAAAAGACAGAAATGAAGTTGACTAACCATTTACACTGGTGCAACATTGTTGAGGTATCTTACCTCACTGTTACCTACCAGTAGAGCATACCAAGTTAGAATGGCAGCCAGGAGAACCAATCGGAATGGCGATAAGAGCAGACTCACCATTCGAACATGTCTGTAGGAATAATACCATTTGTTGTAGTCCAGATAAAGGCCCCGCCACTGCTGCTTTGATGTTATTGAGTTGACATGATGTCAGTAAACATGCAATACTATGACTCAAGAGATCGGAATTAGTAACTCAAAACATAGCGACAATGATTTGAAGGATAAACTGTATCATTGTTAGAGATCCAGTGAGAGATTCAGAATACGCTAGCAGAGCATTGGTATGAGGAAAAGAGAGCAGCTATCTAAAGTACAATATAATGTTTCCTTACTCCTGGTCTAGATGATGCCTGTTCCACTCGTTGACATGACAAAACATGTCTCCATCAATGTGCTCCACCACAAAATATTCATCTTTATATTTGGGGTCAGGGTACAGCAATGCTCCCCTAACAATGGACCAGATGGGGATGAATATTGACACTGTGTGGGGACGTGCTTTAATGTGTGCGAGCCTGAAGGCGTTGTCAAAGGAGCTGCGAGCCACATTGATGTTGGCTATATAGGGGAGAACAAGAGCAAATTGATAGGTGCCAAAGTCAGGAATATTGCATGAAAACATGAATACCAAGTGAGCAAAAGCAATCTCACTATGCGAAAGCTGAAAGAGGACAGTGTCATAACAAGGCTTGCTGTGGAATGAAGGGTTGCACCGTAGGTAGTCAGTAGCTTGCCGCCAGTCCATCCTTGATTTGTAATTGACCTTGAGGTAAGCATGTTCCTGCAACTACATGCGTAGGTCGTTGTGAGATGGGGTAATGACTACTATGCAACATGGCGAAACGTACCTGGAATGTTTCAGCAAATGAGATTTTTCCAAGAATTCTGGTCATGATTGAGGTAGATAGGAAGGCACTGATTGACGAACCAAGTAAACTTCTGATGGACACCTTGGAATTCTTGCTGTGAAGCATGATCATGAATGATTGATTGAATGCTCTTCGGTGACTGTGGTGAACCTGAGCTTAACGTGCTCGCTGAAACTCATGAGGACATCCTCATCACCCCCACCATCAATATCATCATCATCATCATGATCTTGCTGTGTATGATTGGCTTCAGCATCCACCTGGTTCCTAATTAGTTTCATGGCTAAGCAGTGGTGGTCGACACGAAGGACCTATGTGACTTCAGGTCAGCAGGACTGAGTGAGATGAGAAGAGCAGAAGCTGGACGCACCTGAATGGCAACATCCTTACCATTTGAGCAGTCCTGATATGCATCTTTAAGTGAGCCATGCATTTTCTCGTTGGGCTGAGTGCTGTAGTTACGGGCTGCTCCTTCATTCCAAATGTCCCACATGACATGTTTCCGAAGATGGACCTTTGGAAAATTCCAGTCTGTTTTGAGGTGTTCTGCTAGCTCACCATTAGCCACACAGGGAGACATACTCCTAGGTCAGAGCAGGGGGATCAACAGTCAACTCAAACAGCAAGGAAATATCATGTACCTTTAGCTCACTCCTGAAAACCAACTGCTCCCTCTCTATCAATTCAAGGGTCTTGTCAGTGTGCACGTCCAGCCCAATGAGACTGTCCAATTCTAAGTAGCTGTGGAGCATCCATAGGAGCTGGTAGCCTTCACAGCTTATGTCATTTGTCAGAATATTCAAAGCAGCATAGAAGGTTTGCTTGTGAGTTCGTTAGCTTATACATGGAAGTCAAAAGAAGAAGTCTCACCTGTGCAAGATCTCAGAGTTTGTTCCCATCAGCATAGCTTACATGTAGGATGCCATTGAAGTGTGCCAAACCTTGCCAGCTTGGAAATGCTGCAAGCCTGCATTCAATTTAGGATTAGGATGTCTTAGTGAAGTAAATAGAGGGTAGTACATACTGCTCCTCAAGTTGCACTGCATACTTACGTGGTAATTTGCTTAAAAGAATCTTGAGTTCTTTGAGTAAGTGGTGCCCAAAAAGACCGTCATGCAGAGCATGGAGGCGGTCGAAGCTCACAGCTTCCTCTGGCTCCGAGTTCTCAACCTTCCAGAAAACGTTCTTGTGATTTGGTTACATGGTTGGCAAGAGTCACTAATAAATACAAAACTCACTGCAACTGGCTGAAGCCCGAGGGCTTTGAGGATCGGTTCACCAGCTGACTTCTTTTCCTGATAGATGGTGAGGGCTTCTTTTGCCTGTCTTATGGTATGTGTTGGAAATGATTTGGCAAGCTGGGATAAATCCTCAAGGGGAACCAAACAAACTGGGCATGGATGTTTACTCTTTGTGCCTCGAATGAGGCTCATCATGCATCTAATGTCAACATAGTTATTAGTATGTCAATGCGCACTTGTAGTGCCCTCGACTTACTGTTCTTCATAATCAGCAGATAAGATGAGAATCAAGGGAAAGAGCCACTGAGTGATCTTATCATAGCACTCATATTTGTATCCTAGCTTTGAGAGTTCAGCAAGTCTATCAATGATACAAAGGAATGCTTCATGCCAAATAACGCATTTGTAATTGGTGTAGCTGGTCTTCCCCTCTTCTTTGGCAGACTCGGGAACCTTGCATAATATACATGAGCAAGGACGCTGAAGCCTGCACTCAGTAACTTACAATAGGCAACCAGCTGATGACACATCCACCACCAAAGTGCTCTCCATTCCTGATGTTCATGGGCAGATTTCCACAATGAGCTATGACAGGATAACCCTTGACAGTTCTGTGGGAACTTAGACATGTTCAGTCAGCATATAGGATAAAAGCAAATGGGGCTGCATTTTCAACCTGAGGTAAACAAGACTAGAAGCAAGCGCAAGTTAAACATGGTATATACAAAGTATACAGGTTATTACAACATACTTGAATGTCCCACCAGCAATCACCAGTCCATGGTTCTGAGTAGAATCTCTCGTACTCATGGCCATTATGTCAGAAGACCCATTGGGCATCCCAGACGAAGTGAGGTGCAAGGAGGGGGTTTGATAAGAGATCAAGAGCCCACTCCCATAACGAACACGCATAAACTGGGAATGTTAAGTTCTCTCCTTTATAAGGTGCAGTCACATTGTGTCATGTAAACTAGAGTAGAAGCTTGTGGATGAATGCATGGAAGCTCATGGTGTATGAAGAGAAAGAGCATACTGGTGTCACCTGCATGGCCACCCTGTCCCATGCATGTTGAAGGTCAACATCGTTCCACAAGGTAACATTTGCCTTTCCTTGGATGGTGTGTGAAATGAGGGAAAGCAGCCCATTGATCTGTGACATGTTGAGGCCCGCTTGCAATGCTATTTCAGCAAACAAGTAGTCGCCCTCCTCGATAAATGGGTGCCATGGGTGTGGATCGGGGGCCATCATAGCAGTAGCACACTGACCAAATTCTTCTTGCGACTGGAAAAGCGAGGGGGTATTGCTGTGGGGATGGAACTCAGTCTTGAAGTCAGCAGGTGGCTGTTCAGGGGATGGTGTTCAGTCACTGCCATTACTCGCCATGGAGACATTTGATTGATCTATTCATATCAAGCATGTATGTACTTAGTATGGCACACTCAGAAACCAGGTAGCACTGAGTTCATGCACTCACCACTTTGTGCAGCGGGATCTCCATGAGGCTCCCACACATCCTGATCAACAAAATCCATGCATCCTGAGTGAGAAATGTTGGGAGCTGTAAAGAAAACAGCCTTAAGTGCAGGTATATCATAGGTTGAATGAAATGTACTTGGCAATCCATTGTTATCTTCATTAAGCATGCAGGCTACTTGAGAAGGGCCTGCCTGCATGATGTGCATGTGCACTGTCGAGTATGCAGATGTGACCAACGCTACCCTCAATTCCTCAGCTGAGAATGATACACAGCGAAAACTGGATGCACCTTGCTCCTTTTCCCTCTCATATTCCTTAGTAGCATCTATTCGTTGTATTTCCCTTGTTTGACAAGCTGCACAGTGTGTCACATGGCTCTTGGTGCCCTGAGGTTTGAATAGTTTTCCGCAGATTTGGCACTTCGATGTTTTTGAAAGCATTTTCTCTGAATAGTTATATTTTGCATGACGAACAGGGGCCATTTCCAAAACACTGAAGACGAAGGGATTGCAGTGGTTCAGGAAAAAGGGCAGGGGATCGTGAGGATTAAAGTACGTACCAACAACATGCAGTGCAAGCCACCATGTTGCAATGCCACTGTGATGATCTTACAGCAATCTTACCCTGAAGATAATGGAACTTGTTGATTATCATATCTCAGTTGCATTGCCAGAACATTACGATGATCATTATTAAGCAGGAGAGGGGTTTCATAATGCGTATTACAATTTGTCATCATTGTCATGACCCTAAACATTTTTGCGACATAACTGGCATCAAAACATCTGAAATATAGTCATCCTCCCTGATGAGTTTGAAAAGTGAAATGCATTGGTTGATACTCATATCAGTGTGCTCCTCCTCCACAATATGAATGGCACTCTGCTTCTTTGAGCTCAGTCACTCCTCAGCTGGCTGCATTGTATGTTTGATGGAGCCTGCCAGCTGGGTAACAGCACCAAGCAGGGTCACCAGAAGCAGGTTGGGTGGCTCTTCTGGTGGTGGTGCATTTACCTGAGTGTTGCATGAGGAGGACCCTGCAGCAGCAATCACCATCACAGTGGTCATGGACATTACAGGAAGTGGTTCACCTATGTTGGCCCCCCTCCTCTTCTTCACAGAAGGCCTTGTGATGACAGAGGAGATGGTGTTTGCATATGGGAGCTCCAGAAAATTTGATCTGGCAGCAGGGTCAGTGTCACTGATTTCAGTGAAGGGACACCTTCCCTGGCTTAATGCATTGGAGTGGGGAGGCCTCAGATTGCTGGTGCTAGTACTGCCACTTGTCAGGTGGCTAGTGGAGGAGAGTGTTTGAAAGGAAAATGTCTCCAAATTTATGGAGCTCAGTGATGAGGGAGGGGGGGGCGGTTCCATAGAAATGTCACATCAAGGGCCTTCATCCTCTCCAGTGGTGATGGCAGTAGAGGCAGAATTGGTGGCAGTGGACATGGTGGGGGTGGCAGTGTAATTCAAAGTGTGATTCAGTGGTGAAAACCAACCAAAACCAACACAAAAGACAAAAAGAGTGAGTGGTGGTGTGCCTATGCAATACCTAGATGGTAGAACCTTTAATTTGGGTGGGGTTTTTGCAAGCTGCAACACTCAAAGACAAGTGCTGAGGGTTGTGGGTGCTCCTGATGAAGAAGGAGCAAGAATGTGAGAGATTGTGATGGGGTAGACTGCTGTCAGCCTACAGAAGGATGGATGAAGACTTAATTCAATGTCCTAAGCTGCACCAAGCTCAGGGAGGACGTGGAGCAAAGTATATTAATGATAGATGATGATAAGCAATGTAGATGATGGTTAGACCCTTAATAAAGTCTCAACTATTGAAGCTGATGAATGAATTACTGAGTGATGATAAAGTGTGAGCAAGAGGGGCTCTCTGACATCTTCTTCTTATTCAGCTATCTAAGTAGAGTGATTTATATACAGTACAGGGGCATTGCCTATGGAAAACAAGGTGCAAACACTTGGTAAGTGATTGGTAACTGATGAGTAAGGAATGTAAGTGATGGGTAATCATCTTAGAAAGCATTGGTGAACATTGGTAAGGATACATAAGCCAAAAGGTGAAAAATCAGTCAGCAAAGTCAAAAGATTGGTAAGTATTGGCAATAGGTGAGTCAAAGACAGTCAGAATGTCAATGTATGAGTCAAGTAATGTCAGGAACTGGGAAAGTGCACTGGAATCACATTAGGGGGAGGCTGTGCATGTCACATCTCAAAGAGATTGCTTCTAGGCCAAAGTGGGATGACAGAGAGGCAGCACCAATCTGATGCCAATATAGTACATCCAAAAGTGGACAGGGTGAGTCAGATGTCAACAGGGGTCAAGCTTTGGGGGTCTGTGGGGTGACAGGAGCATGGGGGATTGCAACTTTCCCCCCCTAACTGTCCTCTCAGTGAAGCAAATAAAAACTTCATGAATGAGGCTCTGTTGGAAGAGAGGATGAAGGGGGAAGATCTTCTGCTGTATCTTGCAATAAGGAGGCAAGATGTGCATCATACTCATCATGGATGCAATAAGGGAGAGTGGAGAACAGTAGATTATACTGTAGCTGTCAAAATTTTGGGAGAATGAAGGATGAGATTGGTATGAAGACATTGCAGGGAGCAGGGAGGAAGGATCCATGTGCTTCTTGAACTGGAGAGACTGAAACAACCACATAAGACCTTTCTAACTGAATGACAGACCTGAGGTGACCAAAGAACATCCTCCTAGAGGTCATACTGACAAAAAGAACATGCTGTCCAAGCTGGATGGGCTGAGAGGGGGCAGATGAGGATGGGATGTACCAGGATTCTTCAGGACAGAAGCTGGTAGGAACTCCTGGTAGATATACATAGCCATGGTCCCTAGCAAAGGGGACAAGTGAAATGATTGATGTGGAGAGAAGAATTAGTGAAATGAGCATCTTTTGGAGGGAGTGCTGTAGAAATGTGTGGAGTGTGCAAATCCTTTCCAATTTTGGAAGGCAGGATCACATGGCTGAGCACTATAAGTGAGTGTGGGAATGGTGTTGGTATCTGTGGAATTGGTGGAGATATGTTGAAAACTGGAATGCTATACATGGGTGCTAAAGAATTTTTATTAGTGCTTAACTTGCTTCCTTCCTTTTTCTTTGGCATTGACAACTCATTCTTGTGCAAGGGATGACTGCTGACATTTCTGGCTGTCCTTCTTTGCATGAGGGCTATAGTCTTCATCTCCATTCATCAGCAGTATCCATGTCCACCTCACCAAACACCTTTGGTGTGTGACAGTGGATGTGGGAGAGGTGGCAGATGGTGCTGAGGTAGACATACCAGGGGCACTGGCATCAAACACATGATGACCACTTGCAATGCCACTCAGCATGATCTCAGATATCATATCAAACAATGACCATCCCTGATTCCTGTATGGACAAAGAGATTTGTGTGTCTAAATTCATGGCCATCAGTCAGTATCCATAGAAACAATGTAACCAAAGAAATATTTGACATCCATATATTCATCCCAGACCTGCCCTGCATCGGTACCAACAATCACAGCACTGTTTTCATTGTCCCAGTGTTTTCCAGATGTACAATACCTTGAAATCTCAGCATATAGCTGCCTCAGCTGAATATCAGGCACTGATCAGTACAATGAAATAGATAATGAAAAAGTATGACCTACCACCCTCCACTTGTTCTTGCATTGCAATTGTGTCTTCACAGGAGTCCCAGGCATTTGATAGGCTGCAATAGCAGCAGGAAGGTGGTTGTACATTTGTGGCTTGAAATTCCCCATTCCATCCATTGCCTCTGCACAATGGGAGTAGAGAAACTCAACAAGTTTCTCTTCTTCTACTGGCATCCACCATGCCACTACCTTGGGTTCACTGTTGCTTTTGGGAGGCATTGGGAGAAGGATCACACTCTGGATGGCCACCACCACCATGGATGCTAGGGTCCCCCAAATGTGTCAAAGATCACTGTGGTCAAATTGATAGTCCATGGCTTGAGAGAACAAGGTTTGGATTTCAAACTCAGTTGACCTGCCCTGCATACTCAGGTTGTTTCAGGTTTCTGAACAGGCTCTAACATGTTACTCTTTACCATAGATAGTATAATTTGTCACTCATTTTTCATGGCTATTTTTTTTTTAGCACACATGAATATGACACTGAGTGGGACACTGAACACTGCAATAGTAGTACAGGGGACTATTTGAACACACAAAAACATCAACAGCACATGAAATGGACAAAGAATGTAGCAGTCATTGACATCAGTGAGTGAATGAAGACATAAACAAGAACTCTGCTGCAAGAATAAAAGAAATTTTCAGCATGTAGAGCACAGGAAAGCAAGCAAAAAGTGACAATGGTAGCTCTACTTCAAGTGACAAGCACATTTACCTCTTGTGGCACTGGCAGCAAAAGCATTTGCATTGGCAGACCTGCACATCTCACAGGCAGACATGCCTTCCATATCCTTCTTGATGATGTTGGTAGATGTGGGGTGCTGAGGGACACTGAACTTCTCCTCCTCATGGGGATCCAGAAGGGTAGCAGTGGCAAACTTGCATGGCAGAGGAAGGCCAGAAACCTTGTCAGGGTGTGTGTATTCTGAGTGGTAGAAGTTCAGGTGGTGCTCCATATTGTACCTCCAAACTCCATCTTGCCAATTGGTCTGTTGCCTGCATGGAGGGAGTGGGCACAATGGACAGACCACAGGTACATTGTGACATGGGTGCCTCTTTGAGCCTTTCTCCACATATGCAAACTTGATCTGGACCTGGTGAGGACAGTGTGTATCTACCTTGACTCCACAAGCTGTGATCTTTACCTTGATCACACAATCTGGATGCTGGAGCTGAGAATGACCACAAAAGCCACAAGGGAAGAGGTGATCAATGGGAGAGACAATCACTTCTTCAACTCTGCAAATGGACTGGAGGATATGCCCACTCATATGGGACTGTGGATTGTCTGTTGAGTCATTGCATTGCAGGCAAATCACTGTGATGGCCTTGGTAGACAACAGTTGCAGAGTTTCTGCCTTGCAAATGAGAGGAGTGGAACCTGAAAATGTATAAGATTACAAATGAAGTAACAGAATGCATCACTCACCATCCATTAAGCAGTAAGGGAATAGCCTGTTTGTGGAATCCACTCAATGTAATGCAATGGTTGATACAGGGATCTTCATCTCCAATGTCTGCTTCTAAATAAGATCCACTGCTGCCTTGAGAGCCTCATTCTTGAGTGACCATGTAAGGTCTTGAGAGTTGATCTCCTTGGCCTTGTCAGAAGGGAGGTGGGCAGATGCCATAATGATGTTGGGATTGACAAGTTTGACAAGTGACCCAGTTGTGGAGATTTCTACAACCTTCTGAGTAGTGATGGAAAGCCCAGGAACAAGTGATGAAGCTTTGAGATATGCTCCTGTCCAAATCCACATCGAGTTTAACTTGGAATTAGGTGACTCCAAGATGGGAGTCAACTCAGAAGGGATGAGTATGAGGACATTACCAGAGACCTTGATCTTTGACCCATTGTCACACACCAAAGGTGTTTGGTGACATGGACATGGATAATGCTGATGAATGGAAATGAAAACTAGAGCCCTAATGTGCAGAATGACAGCCAGGAATGTTGGCAGTCATCCTTTGCACAAGAATGAGTTGTCAATGCCAAAGAAAAATTCTCAAGTGCCTGTGTATGGCATTCTGGTTTTTGATGTACAGTGGCTCAAAAAACTGTCTGCATGTTTGTATGTTTTACATTAGTTATGACTAAATGCAATAACCCCTAACACTAGCCCTAAACCATGAGTGTATGAAATAAGGTACTTACTCTTGGCTTTCTATTGGTCCATGAATCAAGTGATTTGGATAGGAATTGATAGAATAGCAGCCATTTGAAAATGACATGTCATGCAGACAGTTTTTTGACTTAAAGTTTTGATTACATAGTTTTGAGTTTAACGAAGTTCAAAATGCTGTGAGGTGCTTACTAATGCTTACATGGTATATCACATGGTCTATTTGATGATTTGTCATCATACAAACAATGCCAAACAATGAATTGGGACCATCAAGGCTCCCTCTCCTACCCCAACTCATGAAACCATCCTCCTGGTCCATCTGGGCCATTTTCTCACAGTAATCCCCATAAATATTGGTGCCCACTACAGTAATGTCATCAGGGTAATGTCCAACACAATCAAACCCTTAAAAAATGCTTTCAGCCATCCCTGTGCTGTTTCCCCCACCCATACCTGACATGTTCTGCAACTAATCAGTACTGAGAATGCTGAAAAAGCCATGATGGTTAATCTGGCACTGTAAAACATGACCAACAATCCAATCACCTCTTATCTGGTGGGTTTCTACCTCAGGGGTGCTGGGTTGAGGGCTAGGGTGGACTAAAACTCTTCATTACAGTCCAGGTGCCCTGGGGGGGATAGTCCACTGGACTATTGGGAGGAAGATTCCATCACTCTGTCTAGCCTGAGTATTACCTATGGTCTTATATAACCAAATCATCCATTTTCAGTCACCCACAGTCAGCTGAGAGCACAGGCTAGCCATGCTTCCCATGCCACCTGAAGTGCACAGAAATGTTTTGTCTCACCCCAGCCTTGAAACTAGTTGCACAGTGGTGAAAATGCACTGGTTAAAAGGTGTTTTGTTTGTTCATCATTTCCTGATGTGCTGGATTGACCTCCAATTACCCACCACTTACATTCCTTACTTATCAGTTACCAATCACTTACCAAGTGTTTGCACCTTGTTTTCCATAGGCAATGCCCCTGTACTGTATATAAATCACTGTACTTAGATAGCTGAAAGGAGAGAGACATCAGAGAGCCCCTCTTGCTCACATTTTCATTGTCCCTCAGTAATTCATCCATCAGCTTTGATAGTTGAGACTTTATTAAGGGTCTAGCTGTTAGAAATATCTATAATAGTTCCAACCATCTGGATCATCACATGATCATTCATGTGACTTGCTCAGTCAGCTAGCTCCACAATGACATCATACTGATGTTACTTATGATGTCATATTCCCTGACCTTCCATGCTGTTCTTTACTATACATAGTAGTACTTTCCTTATATGCTACTGGGTCCATGCATAGGTCTACATGTATATAAACTTGGGGATTTCTACCTCAATCCCCATCAAACAATCTACTGTTCTTTCTAAATCAAGCCTTGTACTCAACTTCAGAACTGCTCTTCAAATCTACTGCCTCAACTTGACTATAAGGCAAGTGTTCCACCTTATTGCTCTCATCCCCCTTCCATCCTCTGCACAATAGGTTATGAGCCCTGCCCTCTAGGCATGGTGCTATTTTTCTGCTTTGCATAGTGTGATCACTGTCAATGGACATATCCCTATGGAGTGGAATGGCCTAGACATGCTTAGTTGGGGTGCAGTCACTTTCATTCTGTCACTTCTTGCAGGCTGTTATCAGTCCATTTTACTTGTTTATTATGGAGAGTTTGGTGTAGGAGAATTAAACAGGTTATTTGTTGCCTCATCAACCTTCTGGATCATTGTGCCTGGTTTACTGATGTGGCTGCAACTCTACAACAATTATGTCACCGATTGTGAGCAGCAAACACTCCTCACTCTCTGTGCTGCACTCAGAGAACAATGTCACATTCTCTGGTTCCAACATAATCTCTTACCTCCACCTCCTCATTACTTACACTTCATTCTTCCTGATTGTGATGACAAGGCAGATCTAGATCCTGTACCTCCATACACTGTTGAAGGTGTGGTTGACCCCACCCCTCCTTGATGTGTCCTGACTCCTCTTCCCAAGGATGTTGAACAGATGAACATGGCTCTTGCTGAGGTTAACCACCTTATCACTGAGAACCACAATCTTGCAATCAATCCTGATCTCACTGAGTTTGATTTACTCTAATTGTGTGTTGTTGTTTTCAACAATTACAGGAACTAATTTATAAAAAAGAATGTCTCTCATCATCACCAAGCATACTGAAATTGCTATTGCCAAAGAACATGACCATATGTATGAGGGTGCCAAATGGAGGAAGTACATATGCAGTGAAAGAAGTGATTGAGTTTATGGAAGGGATGCATGTTAGAGACTGTGTGAGTTGGGAATTTGCTGTTCCCAGCAATATGTTGTCCTTCAAGAAGCCAAATCCTGCACTATATATGGTGCCTCTATCCATAGTCAAGAATACCTGGTCAGACATTCTGTCCTTCCCTGGCATCAACTCACTGTACTTCTGCCCCAGCATTCACCTGGCCTATCATGGCTATTTTACCAATTTTGTTCCAAAACTAACTCATATGTTGTCTCTGGCAGCAATCACTAACTTTAATGGTTGTGATATTCCTTCATTTACATATGAAGATCCTTCACTGTTCACTGTCCCTGCTTTCACCATTACTCACAACACCTTCATCTATGTCACATACAATGCCATCCCCTCTACAATTCCAGCAACCCCTTCTGTGGGCTCATCCTGCCTCTTCAGGTTTGGAATGAGCATCTTGAATGCTATTTCTGAGGAATTTGGGCTGACAGACCAACAGACCTCCATGCCATCCTGCACTGGTTCCATGAAAGATGAAGAAGTGGAGATTAGTTCAACTACCAGCTCATGGAGTTTATCAGAGATTTTAAGGAACAAACTGGTTTGGGTCACAGGAGTGGATATGAGGTTACTTGCAAACATCTTTGGTTTGCTGCAGGATCCAGTAGGACCAGCTTCACTTACTGGCCCTCAACAGAAGACATTTTTACAGACTTTGAACATGCCATGGAATCACCTCTTGGAGGTGCTTTCACAGTTCCCTGATGTCACAGAATATATAGCACAGCTGTTGGAAGGGCTCATGCTTCTTGAGCCATTTGTGCACAGTTATCCTCTTCCCAGTATGATGGATGTACTGTACACATCCAGAGGCTAGTACCATGAGGGGCTTGATGGTTGTGTTATTGATGAATCATATAATATTTTTGAAATCATCTGTTATTGTAACACATGCCATCACAGATATTCCAATCATTTTCCTATTCCATATAGTTGCAATGCAGTCTATCTTGGCTTTACAAGTGACAGGAAACTGTTACATGACTGCCAGTGGAGTTTTTTCTCCTACCATTATTTCAAAGAACTCCACTTCAATTTACTGGAATGCAACAATTCTCACATCCCCTCACAGAGATTTGCTGAGAGAGAAATCCCCACGGTCACTTCAAAAAGGCAAAATGAAACTGACCCTCACAGTCTGCTAGAGCTCACACTTGCAGACACACCAATAAAGATTATCTTCTCAATTCTACATCCATGGACCCATGGATATCATTTTTATATGATCATCTAATTTTGGATGTCTTCTAGATGTCTGATGGTCTTGGAAAACAAATCCCAAAACTTAATGGCCTTAACTATGCTTCTTGGTCAGTTCTTATGAAAGCATATTTTCAAACACTGGGCAATTGGGGACATGTTGACAGATCTACTGCAAAACCACAAGGCACTGGAGAAGCTGCCTGGGTGGTTCAAGATGCCTGTGCTATGGGTATCATTACTTTATACTGTGATCTGATGATCACAATGTCTATTGACAGAGAAGATACTTCAAAGAAGAGATGGGATAAGCTGAAGAAGAAATATGGAGACCCTTCAGCCATTACTACTTTCATGGAATTCCAGCAACTCATTCACATTCAAATTAAACTGAAGGATGACATCATGGTTAAAATTGCTGAAATCTCCATAATAATTCAAGCCATTAATGGTCAAGGAATCAACCTTAATGATAAAATGAAAGCCCTCCTTCTCATCCACTCTATGTCTGGCTTGTGGGAGCAGGCACCCGTCAATATTTTATGTTCCATCACAGTGGACCAACTTGGTCCAGATACCATCATCCCCAGGATGAAAGAAATTTGGTCACATAGGTCCAGAAAGACTATGCTTCCACAACAAGACAAAGCATCTACCTCAGGTACACAGGTTAAGCAAGAAATTAATTCACTTCTTGCTTGCATGAATAAGCCTCCTCTCTGCAATATTTGCAGAGGAGTGCATAATACTCAAGATCATTGAGGACAATCATCTTCTAGAGGAAATTGTGGTGGTCACTGTGGATGTGGAGGTTTTCACTGAGGACATGGAGGTTATACTCCTTACCCTCATAATAACCAACAGCAAGGTTCTTCCCAGTCCCAGGGAAGTAAGAACCAAAACCAATGTCACAGAAAAGGCAAGGGGAAAGCCCATGCTAATGCTGTTGAACTCACTGGAGAAGGTGCCAAAGCATTTAACTTTGCCACCATTGAGGAAATGTCAGATAGATATCATGAAGGTGCTGAAATGCCTTATGATAGTTATCAGGAAGCATATCCTGAAAATACTGCTGAAGATTTTGATATCACTGCTATTGAAATAAATTGCGAAAACTCTCCTGAATATTCTCCTGCACCAGCTGCAGTTGAGACAATCCAAACCACAGACATGGAGAGCTATCTAGGGTCTCACAATTTCAAGTTGTAACAACTATGACCCTCTTTCTACCCAAGACATTGTCATGGCTATGGAAAACATCAGAGCCCACTCCAGTTATCCCATTGATGGTTCTACTGGACAACTGTCTGAGTGGTATGCTGAAGCCATTATGTCCTCCTTCACAGATGCAGTTGAGTCAGTACCAATTCATGTCAACATCCCAAGATCTAATTCTCCTTGCCAATGTAATATTTGTCACCAAGCAGCCCTACAGAATCTCTGAATGGACTCATCCCTATGGGAACCCTCACAATGGATGAACCAGAGTCCTCTTTCAAGGACAGCTTCATTTCCCCTTGTTGAGCAGGACCAGGGAAATTCAAGTAACCCCCTCCAATACTCAGATGGAGTGGGAAATTCCTATGTGGCTTGGACAGACTTGGCAGAGGAGAGGAGAGGAATGTTGAGGCAGAAAGCATTGTGGTTCAGACAGAACACAGACATAATTCTAAGTCTTCCCAAAGACATAGAAAATGCTTTACTGTTTCTTTAAGTGAATTTCATGCATCAATACCTGATTCTAAATCTGTAAAACCTTTATGCTTTTCCTTTTTTTGAAATCATCCTGATGTAAACTATGATCCCAACAAATTGCTCAGCAGTTATTACCCTGGTGAATTTGACTGCAATGCTTACAATGCTTATGACTGCTACCCTTTGGGTGTGCATGCATCTTTCAAGAACCTACTGAAAGGCAAGTCCATTTGGATGTTAGATTCTGGA